GTGATGCTTACTTATTTATATTTGTATTCAAACTGCTGGTGAGATGGCAGTAGGTCAAGGACTTTGCTACCCAGCCTGATTGGGTGCTGGAAACTGAACTCTGGTCCTCTGTAAAAGCAGTGAACACTCTTAACCACTGTGTCATCTCTCCAGCCCCTTGTTTTGAGTTGTGTTGTGTTGTAGGGGTTGAGAAAGTATCTCATGTAGCCCAGGGTGTCTTCCAACTATATGTAGCAGAGGTTGGCCCTGAACCTCTGCTCTTACCTCAATCTCCCAAGTGCTAGGATTGCAGGTATTCACCACAATAGTTGGTTGTTTCAGGGTTTTTAATAAGAAGAAATAAGCCGGGTGAGGTGGCGCACTGCTTTAGTCCCAGCACTTGGGAGGCAGAGGCAGGCAGATCTCTGTGAGTTAAAGGCCAGCCTGGTCTGCATAGTGAGTTCAGATCAGCAGAGACTGCAGGGAGACCCTGTCTCCCAAAAAAAAAAAAGAAATTTGAGCTTTTAAAAAAAATAGCATTTATGTGCATATATAAGTGCCTATGAAGGCCAGAGGTCAGTTCAGGTGCCTTCCTCAGTTGCCCTCCGCCTTTTTTAAAAAGGCTTTTTTTTTTCAGTGTGTATGAGTGTTTTGCCTGCATATGTGTATGTGCACTGCATGCATGCATACCTGGTGCCTGAGGCATCCAGAAGAGGGTGCTGAATCCTACAGGCCTAGAGTTAACAGGTGGTTGCCTGTTAAACAGGGCTCTGGGTGCTGGGAATTGAACCCTGGTCTTCTGTGAGAAACAGCAACTGCTAAGCCATCTTGCCAGCCCTGTCCACCCAATTTTTTTTTTAATTTTTAATAACTACATGATTAGAAGAAGCATTTCATTACAGCTTTAACATATCTAGTAACACATTCCAGAGCAGGAGTACATCTCTTTTACAAGTGGCTGTAAGTTTCTAGGTTCACAGTTGAATTAATACAGTTATACAATATTGAACTCAGTATAAGCCTTGTAAGACATAAAATTGAATGAGTTTTTAACTTTTAAAAAAAGATCTCCATTTCATTTTAGAATATATTGTTCCTTGCAGAAAGACTTGTTTTTGCTACTAACACTGAGATGTTGGTGCATGTATGTATCTGTTTATTACTAGTCATAATCGGTTGCACTTGAACCTTGGCACCTATGTATGTCTATAAAGTCATCGTGTAGATTTCAGTGGTAATGTTTATCACCTCTACTAATTAACATGGTGTAAATTTCCATGCTTCCTCCTCAAATATAATACATTTTTTAAAATTTGTTAATTTTTGTGTGTGTGTATATCACCATCTTATTCAACTATACACCCACTTCCCAGATGGCACCTTCCCATAGCCTCCCTTCCCCCACTAGAGCCCTTATACTATGATATCCCTGCTACTGTCTGCTATGTTGTCAGAACCCCCTAGCCATTCCAACTACTTGCCCTTCTGGTGAATCTAGTCAGCCTATCAAGAGGTCTTTGTTTTAGGAAGGTCAGCTCTTCCTCATCTATCAGCAATCAGTTGTCAATATTCCTTTAGATAAGATTGGGTCTACTGTTCATTTTCCCAGTTCTATGCTGGGTTATTATCTGGGAGTCCCTTGGGCCACACTGGCCAACAACTCAAAAGAAGCTATCTCCTATCTGGTATTGTTGCTTGTTATATGGCCTTTCACTGTACATATGGACTCTCAAAAATTATATTGGCCCCTTTAATCTTTTGTTATACACTCCTTTTGGGAGTTTAAGACCATACAGTTGGTC